TGTATTTACCTGTCTGTTTTCGGATAAGACATTCCTGGCAAACATTGTCTTAGGTTTTACTGGAAAAGGGGTTTGTTACAAAACACAGAATTCTATCATTAATTTTTACTACAGAAAAAAATACAGAAGGTTATGGTTACAGAGAAATTACAAGCATTCAAGTAATTTATTAAACTCTGACGTTCCTAATTTATTACACCGACCAAACCGCTTACTGCATGATGGACTGATATGTCTTGTGTTTTAAGTTTGGGAAGAAAACCTAATGTTAGGTTGGACTCCATTTTGCTTTCACCTCCTTCTTCCCATAAGGACTTGGTGCCTGCCCTGGCAGGCACAGCAACAATTTTTCTATTGGTCTGATACCCCGAGGTACTGACCAATCCCAGGTTTTGTTGGGCTTCCCCTGCCCGGTTGGTGGGGAAACCTGATCACCGCCTCCCGGTTACCACCCCTTTATCCATATTCATTTCCCCTGCCCAATGTTTGTAGGAGGATTTGCATGCTCCTCCTTCCCTCCGCCCAGTTTCCAGAACCTACCCCGACCGACCCTATATTTGCCCTGAACCCTTGAATAAATTTGAATCAGCTTTCACCCCCTGCTTTGAGCAACGCCTCTGTCTCGTGTCTCCTTCTTTGGGCTCGGGACTCTAAGCAGCGCTGCACTACCTCTGCCGGGCTGGCACTACTGTGCCGTGCAGTCTCGCATACCAAGAGACTAGCCACCGCCGGCTGCCTCAAACGGAGACCCTCTCCTTGGAGGCTAGCGCAAGAACCCCTGACGCTGGTTCGGTCCTTTCCCCGAACCCAAAGCCGTGTCACCATCTCTAATAAACACACACTTGTGCACCTCTCTGCATCCCTGACAGAAGTGCTGATATATTTCTGCAGCAAGCATCTGTCAGCTCTTTCAGCTGGATATAGGTAACCAATTTCACAGTAATTCTGTGTCTGAGACATATTGTCCTAGTTAGAGCAGCCGGGACCAGTTCATCACTGGGTGGGTGTAACCCAAACTGTGTATTCTACACTCTCCATGTCATTTCTCAGAAACTGTTAACAATAGACCGTTTGCAGCAGCTGCTCAGAGCACACCCGACCCCTCAGGCTATAAGCTGGGTGTTAAGAGGCCTGTGAAATAGGAGGATGTTCCTGTCCTCACACACAGAACTCAAAATCACCCATTGTGGAATTCCCTGCCCTGGGGGAGGTGCTGCGCATTCCTGCCTGAACCTGAGTGTATATAGTCTTGGGGTCTTGGGACTTCTGGTACCACTCATGGCATCCAGAGAAGGACCAGAACCTCAACCGGACTGCAACCACTGCTCTCAACTGGACTGCAACCATCACTTGCACCAAAAGGTTCTTCCTCTCCTTTTACTTTTGGACTCGGGGCTCACATGGGGCTCAGCGGCCAATGAACACCATTCTGTTTGTGCCTCAGAGTGCCGGGTTATACATCAGGGTTTTTGTGGGTTAAAACCACTTGTTCATCTGTATGGTTGTATTTATTGTCTTATTTTTAATAAATTGTAATTCTGATTTATAATCTCTTTTGAGTGGGGTTAATTTCTCCTGACAGTTTGCCTTTAAATTAGCACACTTAGACTTTTTAAAAATCCTTTACAAAGTATATACTTCTGGATTTCAAGTCTTTTAACCTTTTTCACCTTTTACCTAAAAGCTGAATGACCCCTTAGAGGAGAGGGCATAAACTCATTCTTTAACACTTCATAGAACAAATCTCAGACATCAGAAAGGCTGATCACAGAGCATATTGCAAACTCTGCTTTCCAGCCCAAGGACTGTCACCTTTGGATGGCAATGATGCAATGCAACAAGTTTAATGGCCCAGTCCACAGGCTATGAGCTGCCAGCTGCCTGTCTTGTGTTTCCTCATTCCTAGTTTTAAAAATCTTCCATTTTAAACTGCAATATTCATGACTTATGCCCTGATTCTGCTCCCACTGAAGTTCAGGACAGCTTTATAATTGATTTAATACAAGCAGGATGAGGTCCTGAACCTTTTTAATTGTAAATTCGTTAGATGAATAGTTTTATAGCATATGAATTATCAATCCAAATACACATTCGTTCCTCAAAGCAGTTTTATCCATTAAGCCATGTTTAGTTACAAAGTTAGTATAATAAGGTTCATCTCACCTAAATTCTGAATTCACCCTATACTCTAATCGTCAGCAGTGGAAGAAAACATGGAGGATAGAAGATTGACTTTGACTAGATGCATTAACCTCCTTGAATTTTTTATTTGAACTGTTCAGTGATTATGTACATAACCTTCCTCTGTTCCTTCTGTGCTATACTGTTTTTTAGTTTTTCAAAGCTTTATCCAAATTGCCTTCACATGACTAGCTAGAGGAAAAACTTGTACTTACTCTCATCTTGGGATAATCCTACTCTTTAAAACAAATCACAACAGTTACATCACTCTTCTGTGTCTTGAGTTAATGAAATGGAAGAATATACACAAGAATTCTCCAACAAGAGTGGATGTGGCATACTTGCAGCCCACCATTTAGACATCTCTATAGGATTCAGGCTCCTAAACATTTTACCAATACAACATCACAATTTAGTCCTTGAAAAAATCTTATTCAGCAGGTACCTGGGCAGGAGTATTCAGACCTGTTTTACAAATCTGGGTTAGACTCCTCAGATAAAGCAGTGGGAAATGCCTCATCTGTCATACCCTTTCATGATTCCGCACAGTACTCCACATCTTCCTGCAAGTCATCTGGTTGGTCTAGCTCCTCCACATCATATCCCTATTTATCAAAATTTTTAAGAGTTGAATCCTGCAAGATTTGTAGAAGTTCAAAGAAAACTCTGTTCTCTTGATAAATAACAGGTACTGCTCAACATGGTGAAGGTCAGCAGCTTTCAGTCTATATAACAAATTAGGGGGGGAGGGGTGGGCAGGGGGAAAGAAATAAAATCAGTTGTGCAATTAGAGACCCTGGGTTGTATCAGCAATGAGTGAGTAATACACTACAGATATGAAAGCTGTCATGGAACTGATATGTTCCTTTAGAAAAAGCAGTGTATTTCTTTCACAGGCCAGTGCAATGGGAGCAAATACCTTCTTTTCTCCCTCACGAAGAAGCTGCTTATAATGGCTGCATGGTAGCCATGCTTCACTTGGACTATTTACAAGTTCATCTCCTTGTAAGTTCTCTGTGCCATTCTGCTGATGAGGAAGCAGGGAGCATTGCTTCCAAAGTGACAAAAGCTCAGCAAGGGAGACTGGTCAACGTTTGTAAGGAGCAGAAAAGTTCCTGGACAGCCTTGTCTTGTCTTGCCCTGGACTCAAGGCTCCCCACTCCCTGCTCTTTCCTGGACAGCAGGTAGAGCTGACCCCCACAATATTTCAAATAGCACTAGGCATGTTTCACGGAGTCATTCACTGCAGAATTCTAACAGAACCCATGTTCTTTCACTGAACTATTTAACATGATAGCTCAAGTTTGAAACTTATAAAAGGACTTACTGTAGTGTCATTCATTACCTTTATACAGCTCAGTGACAGCTCCACTGAAGACACTGATATCCCTTTCTACAGAACCAAAATCAAGAAGGTTAGCATCAGCTTCAAGTATCCTTGCAGCAAAAGACTCCATCCCAATAAAGAAGATACATTTTATCCTTATGGAAGACAGACTAAGCTTTTTTAAATTTATTATGTGAATTTTCCCATATAGACTGAAAGGTTTCATATAAGTACATCAATTGCCACAAGACATGTCCCAGGATTCTGATTCAGTCTACTGTTTATCAATGCCACTATGCTGCTATAATTTCCTCCACCAGAAGACCCACTGTTTCTAGCTTTTATCACACAATAATTTCATCTGTAAAAGGCAGTTGACACATTTTGATATATAGTTATATATTTAAATTACATTCATCTCTTCATCACTTAACCACAGAGAGGACTTCCCTATAGAACATTCTAGACATGCTGACTCTGGAGGACCACCTTCAGGCTACACAGCAGAATCAAATCAGATTTCCTGCTCCAAGCATTTTGCAGCTACTGCAAATGCTGCAACCTGCTCTAAGGAAAATACTTTTAAAAAATTGAGAGGTGGGGATCTTCAGAAGAGAGTTCTTAAGACCGTGCTAAACAAATACAGAAACACAGACAATAACAGTAAAGATTTTCATATCTAAAGGAGCCTGTGAATCATATAGCTTAGGATCATATAGCTTAGGATGAGTGTTGGAGGACAGGGATATAGCTAATAACCAGGAAAACAGAACAGCAGCTCCCCAGTATCATTTTTTGGTCCCTGCCATTCTTTCATTTTTGGTTCCCAAACAGGACTCTGAGCATAAATGAGTGTGTGAACACAAAAGTGACTGACATTTTAGTACTTCTTGCTAGGCTGTTGTTTGAGTGGAAGAACAGGAAGGGAAGGCTGCTTCTTGCTTTCTTAACTCTTCTTCCTTATTAGCATTATTTCCTTCACTGGAAATTGCCTGGAGGACATATCTGAATACTTGGTAGCAACCAGCAGAGGGACATAAAGATAATTGATTTGCAAATAGAAGGGAGAAAGGTGCATGCTGGAAATTAGGTGAAAAAGCTGTCCAGCAAAGTGTTTGCAAAAAATACTCAGCAGAAAAGGAGTGAAAATAATTAGAAAATATAAAGTCATTATAGAATTCATCTGAGTTCATAGATATGCTGATGAAAAGTATACAAGGTATGATAGTAGGAATAATTATCAATCCAGGAAGATTGGATATCATGTAGAAATTACTACATGACCTTAAAATCAGGGATAGCTCAAGCTGATTAAATGAATTCATACAAGATACAAAGTAATGTAAATGTAAGAAATACCTAGATCATCTTCTGTAACCTCACAGAAGATCATTTGAAATTTACAAAGGCACATTATCTAATAACATCAGTGAAACATAACCACAATATAAGGTAAATGCTCTTTTAGTATACAATAGGAAGTATTTTATGACAGAATCATTAGTAACATTGTAAAAAGAATGAGGTGCAGCATTTCTTGAATTCTGCCTGCACTATTGTCATGAATGTGAAGATTAACTCAAACTAGGAAAGGTACTGTGAAAGGCCGTTAGCATGCAGATAAGACTAAATGAGTCTGGACTAATTGATCTGCTAGACTGAAGGCTGAGAAAAAAAGGTGGCATGTCTGTGTGAGATACTGGATTTGAATCTCACTGAATTACATATCGATATGGGTCAGAGCCAACTCAATGGGCGGAGGGGTGGGGAAGGGGACGGGAGGGGGGCAAGGCTGGGCTAAGGCCTGCTGACAGCACATGGCCTGCAGCAAACAGGGCAGGCCCCCAGAGAGAATGTGGTAGAGCATGTAGGCCTGCAGCCAACATGGCTGCATCCATGCAGAGCACATGGCAGAGCTGAAGGCCGAGTAGCTGAGCTGTCAGTCAAGGAAGGCCTGTCCAGTAGTCCACCCACATCATACCCTCTGGAGACTCTGGTTGGCTACAGCACTCTTCTGGCCTGGAAGGCACTGAGTGAGTAGATATCCTGCCTGCGAGGCAAAACCAAATTATATAAATGCATGAGGTTCCATGTGAGCTCTCTCTTCCTCTCCTGTCTTCCAACCAGCACCACATGAACCAGCAAATCTTGCCAGTAACTATTTTTCTCTCTTCTCTCTCCTTTTTTTCTCTCTTCTTTCTTTACTCTTTTCATCTCTTTTCTTCTTTTACCTGTTTCCTTCTCTTGTGGATAACTTAAAACCAATGAACTGTATTTTATTATAGCTGGTATATTGATTGTTTGTGGTGGGATTTTTTTGTGGAATAGGTCTCTGTGCTGGGTGTTTTAGTAAAATGCCTTTCTTCTGTTATATGTTACCTGTTATATGTCATACATAAAACTCTCTTGACGAAATGTCTTATTTCTCTCACCAAATTAAAAGTAATTCTCTTAGAGAAAGCATAGCAGAATTTTCTCTGGATGCAAACTCTACGTCATAACAAATCAAAAGGCTTTTGAAAAGTTTTAAATAAATGTAACCATTCTGGGCAGCTTGTGACTTAAAATCCCGAGTGTAGCAGTCTGTCAATAGGTTGATGAAAAAAAATGAAAGAGAAGAGCTGTCGGTGATAACAATGACTATGAGGATATGGAAACTGCATTCCAGAAATGGAAACATGCTGAAGAGAACATAACATCCTTTGAAGAATGGAAGAATCACCTCATGAAGGTTGATGAACATCACCCTTGTGCTTAATGGACTGTTTGTGGTAGTTTTGTTAAAATATCAAACCTATATGTAGGTTGTTTTCCCCCACTTTTCCCTCTCCCTCATGGACTTTTAGCCTGACAGGCTTGCAGACAGCGTCTCATTGGTCCAAGTACCATGAGGTACCAACCAACCAGGTTCTTCCTCATTATCACCTCCCCTGTTACCACCTCCCTATGTTTATTCATTTTCCATCAACCTATAAATGTTAGCGGATTTGCATGCTCTGCCCAAGTTCCACCCTCTTCCTAGGATATTCCTTACCAACCCCTATAAAACCCACCATTTTGTGTTAATAAACCAGATCAGTCCTGGCTGTTCAAGTGTTCAACTGCTTTGTGTCGGTCTCTTACTTTTGCCTGCGCAATAGCCTGAACCACACTTGACAGCCTTTGCCTGTTGCTGTCCTAACACCCGTGAGCCAGGCAAGACCCCATGCTGGTCTGCTCCCTACCTTTTATAACAAAACTGCATCAAAGAGCTATCTCAGAGGGAAGATGGAGATGTCATAGATAAATGGAGATGTCATGGATAAATGCAATTTCACCTCAGGAGGGAGGTTGGAAAACTGCACCAAGTGCAAAGTGTAAGAAAGCATCTTGATACCAGTAGAAGAGTCATGGCAGTCAGACAAAGTGACTGGAAAAAGGGAAATACTGTACCCACCTTTAAAAAGGGTAGAAAGGAGGACCCCAGGAGCTGCCAGCCTGTCAGCCTCACTCATCCCTGCGTCTGGGAAGATCATGAAACAGATCCTCCTATAAGCCATGCTAAGACATACGGAGGACAGGGAAGTGATTGGTGACAGCCAGCACAGCTTCCCCAAGGGCAAGTCCTACCTGACCAATCTAATGGCCTTCTATAATGGAGTGACTATGTCAATGGATACGGGAAGGGTCACAGATGTCACTTATCTTGACTTTTGACATACTCCCCCATAGCATCCTTCTCTTTAAATTGGAGTCTTGGATTTGATGAGTGGAGTGTTTGGTGAATGAGAAATTGGTCGGATAGTCACATCCAGAGAGTAGCTATCAGTGGCTCAATGTCCAGATGGAAATCAGTGAGAAATGGGGTCCCTCAGGGGTCTATACTGGGACCAGTACTGTTTAATAGTCAGTAGGATCAAGTGCACACTCAACAAGTCTGAAGATGACACCAAGCTGAGCGTTGTGGCTCACAGACCTGAAGGATGGGATGCCATTCAGAGGGACCAAGACAAGCTCGAGAAGTGGGGACATATGAATCTCAGGAGGTCAACAAGGCCCGCTGCAAGGTATTGCCCCTGAGTAGTGCAACTCCCGGTAACAATACAGTTTGAGGGTTGAAGGGATTGATAACAGCCCTGCTGAGAGGGACTTGGGGTACTGGTGGATGAAAAGCTGGACGAGACCCAACAATGTGTGCTCCCAGCCCAGAAAGCCAGCTGTGTCCTGAGCTACATCAAAAGAAGGCCAGCAGGTAGAGGGAGGTGATTCTGCCCCCACTTTAGCTCTTTTGAGACCCCGCTGGAATGCTGTGTTCATGTCTGGGGTCCTCAGCATAGGAAACACATGGATCTATGGGAGTGGGTCCAGAGAACAACGACAAAAATGATCAGAGGGATGAAACTCCTCTCCCATGAGGACAGAATGAGGCAGTTGGAGTTGTTCAGCTTGGTGAAGAGAAGGCTTCAGGGAGACCTTACTGCTTAAAAGGGACTTATAAGACTGATGTGGGGAGGTAAACTTTTTAGCTTGACCTGTAGTGATAGGACAAGAGCTAATAGTTTTAAAGTAAAAGGGGACAGACTAGATACAAGGAAGACATTTTTTAATTATGAGGGTGGTGAAAGACTGAAAGAGGTTTCTCAGAGAGATGATAGATGCCTCATCCCGGAAGCATTCAAGGTCAGGCAGGACAGGCTTTGACCAACCTGATAGCTCTGAAGAGAATGACCTGCGAGTCCTGGTGTACAGCAAGCTGTCCGTGAGCCATCAGTGTTCTCTTGCAGCTACTAGTGGGGCCAGTCTTCTTTAATGTCTTTACTGATGATCTGGATAAGGGGATTGAATGTACCTTCAGAAAGTTCGCAGATGATGCTAAGTTAGCTGAGAGTGTTGATCTGCTGGAGGGGAGGATGGCTCTGCAGAGGGATCTGGACAGGCGGGATCCACGGGTGGAGGTCAGTTGTATGAGGTTCAACAAGGCCAAGTATTGGGTTCTGCTCTTGGGTCACAATAACACCAGGCAGCACTACAGGCTGGGGGAAGAGTGGCTGGAAAACTGCCTGTCAGAAAAGCATCTGGGGAT